CCCAAGATGTCGTTGCAACCATTTTGGTTACAATCTCTTTTCGATGTACGAAAGTGGTCTGATTTAGTTTTCGCAATTTTGCTGTATTGCCAGAACGACTTATTTGGACGCACCTTTTCTGAATTCTTCTGGTATAGAAATTATTAACATTCCCACTTTCGGACCTTGTGCTTGTTACATTCTTATATTTCTCGCCGGTGTTATAATCGACTACCTCTGTGAGTCTTACCATTCTCAGCACCAAACTAAAGATCGTCAGGCCCGAATGAATTCAATCCCTTACCAGCCTTCTTTCTCACAGATTTTCTATTACTACTCTTTCTGTCCTTGCACACCTGCCTGCTCCTTGCCCTCTTATCTCACTTTTTATCTATCAAAACCTATGATTTATATGCATTGTACTCCTTAAAAGAAGTGCAATTTTTGTTTAGTTTATTGTGGCATCATCCCACCTGCCTCCCCTCCCCTTTGGATTGGCTGATCGGACTAGGGCCTCATACTCGGATTTATCTCGTGGGTCTTAGATCCATTCCTTATCTTTAACTATAAATGACCTTTTATCTCCTCTTTGCAATTAAATGTCCTGGTCTAGCTATCTTGCGATTATTGAGAGCTGAACAGAATTTTATATTTACTTTGTAGATAATGACTAAGACAATAGAAGTATGAGAGATATCTATTAAGGATTAATGAGAGCCATCATAATAAAGAAAATATTGATCTACTATAAAATCAGTAAACAAGAGGCATTACATTTTATATAGACTAAGCTGGAGAGGCAGACCAAAAGTTCATGGGCAAAAATTGGGCCACATACATAATTAAGAAGTTTTAGAAAAACAAGCTGGGCTTTTTCCAAAACAATTAAAAAGAAACGTACAGCAGCGAAAAATTTTCTTGTTCACGAGAGCTTCTAAAATGAAAGTGTGCAAGTTCGATAACGACTGAAGTTAGATAATGCAGAGTTATACAATTAAGAGGACTCGAGGCCCAGATCTAGAGGAGCCTTACAATTTTCTCATTTTTTTGGTTACATAAGGTCCCACTGTATTGCTCTGGAACTTAGATAGGGCTTAACAGAAAAGTAAAATCGTTTAATACGCTAAGGTCCAACCAGATGTGAAAACTTGCCAGCTATTCAACAAAAAATTGACTTCTCAACGAATATGCATTTTTGACTTAGAAAATAGGTTTAATTTTGTTCTGAATATATATTTAGTCATCAAAATAAGTCACCAAACACCGACGACCGTTTAAAATATCTTAAACTGCGACACCTGTGGCGTCGCGGATTATTCGTTTCAATTTATCTCTTTTGCCGTTTATTAGACTGCTACTATGAGGCCTTCTGAGTACTAAGTACAATTATAAAGTATAAAAGGAGCGTGTCATCCTAAAATTAACTCTCTTTAAGGCTAACTTGGACACTGTATTATATACTGACGATTATTCGTATATGAACTTCTTCTAACACAATAATCTCCTGCTTTAGGGGCTGCAATATTGCACCCGAGAATATTTTTGCCCACTTCCTGCGCATGTATTTAAGCAGTTATTTACAGTCCCTCAGTACTCTTCTATTTAGCCGTGTGGTCTTGCTTATCACTTCTCCATTCAGCTATATTAGACCACATTATTAATTCCCATGGATACAGTTTTTAAGTCTTCAACTTATTAACGCCTATACAAGGTTTACTTATATGTAAAGAAAACATAAGGCGCCTGCTAATCTATTGTATTTAGTAAAGAAAGAGGTGGATAGAGCATGTCGAAGGCTCATGATTTTGTCAGCGTCATTTAAAAAATTTTCTTACTTCTTTATGAGATGCCTACTTATGCGTTGAGCCAGTCAGTGGGTTACAAGCTTTAACGACATTGTTACAGTATGCATACTAAGCAAACAGGCATAATTAAACAGAGATTAATAACCGCTTCTGGCATAAAAAAAAGACACTAAAACTAATAAGCTCCAGAACTAAGTTGTCCCATATGCAATTAAGTGACATAAAGATACGCAGTTCTTCAAACACATCAACTTTCTCACTTAGAGCAAGAACGTTTATCTCAGCAATATTACCTTCCATTTGGAATGCCAATTATACGGTAGTTTAGAACACCCGTATAAATAGGATTTTTGTGTGGTAATAAAAACCACATCATAGCCATCGCATAAAGATTGCCAACATTATCCAAACATAGAGTAACCAGAATAATTAGCGTTTTGAGCTTTAGGCCGGCATAATAATCTTATATGACCCAGGTAAACGCGTCACCATAGCCTCATAATACCGAGCACAATAATAATTGTAATGACGAGGTCAACGACGATTTGATGCACTTATAAAAAAATTATGATTTAGCTCCATCCTAATGAACATGCTGAAGTTTGAAATCGGGTTTGTAGTTCCTTATCCGATTTTACAGGCATAAAAGATCAACCACTTGCTTATGAATAAGTTTGTATAAGAAACTCAATAAGTGTTGCGTTGAGCCAAAGTCATCATACATCTTTGTAATCATGTAGAATAAAAACGGACTAGTTCATACCAGTGGAAATCAGAAAGTTCGAAACCAAAACAAACAAATTGAATTTAGGCCTTGGGAACTGATGAAATCATGAATTGGGTACTTAATTATAGTAGAAGATACATCACTCTTTACTAAAAATAAATGCTGCCGAATCTCTTAAGGTTCTAGTTAAAGAAAAGTTCAGGTTAAAAAATGTTTATTGAAGAGTGGAAATGGTGTTACTAATGCGGTGAAAGAAGCTTATTTACAAAGTGAGAATAAAAAGGGCTTAATGAGATATGTATATTGATAGCATGAGAATCGCTTAAGTTGGCTTTGGTTCAAGACTATCAAGTAAATAAAATGTGTTATGAAAGTCTTCCAAGCGATTAATAACTCTATCTACATGCCAAGGCCATTCAGTTCCTGAAAGCTCTTCAGTCAAATGGTCTTCTGGTGCAACGAGATCGAGTACCTCATTTTGCGTATCTAAAGAGCAAAATAAAAGATAGGTAATATGAACCAACTTTAATATGAAATGTCATTATATATGGAATTCATTTGTCAGAAGGAGTGAGGGGCAACTTGCAAATAAACCGAATTTTTAAGAAAATGGTAGGATATATGCCTTCTTTAGGAACAAATATCTGAAATCTCAGAGGCTCCTTAAGAACCTGACAGTAATCTAGAAGTATATGCAACGAACTATATTAGCTATATGAACAGTGTTCATCATATATCAACTGGTAGCTGATTAGACATAACGATTTCATTAAATTTCATATAGCTTTGATTTCCCACAAGGTATTCTC